AACAGTCTGCAAAAAATAATAAGCCGGATCCAATTCGAAGATTAAGGAACAACGCAATTTGCAACATTAACTGAATTAGATAATTTTAGCTTAGCTTATACCGTCCGTTATAAATTAAACGTGCATGTATTATGCGCACACACATATTCGCAGCCGTTATGCGCATGCGTCGAAAGTTTGTAGCTTCGAGGTCCGGATTATGGGTGTCTGGATGAATGACTTTTGACTGTATTATACACCTAAATACCTTTGATATTTAAAACAGCTTCAATTCTTGGAATGGTTGCATGCTAATCCTAAAGAGTCAGTGATATGTTTTTCTGTTTTTTTATTTATATATATATATATAATACTTCCTTTAAGCCTTAAATATGCTGTTTTATAAAACAAAGTACTTTTTAGTTCAGTCTGATTACTTAGATCTGGCAAAACACACAATGGCTATCTGCCTAAAGCGAAAGATGTCTTTGTAAAGAACTTTCTGAGAAAAAAACAGCTGATATTATATTACACATGGAGGAAACCATAAAAATTCATATGCAGCCAGTCTCTTAAAGAGTGTTTGAACCCAAAACAAACTACCAGTATTCTTGATATTAAGTATTTGGCCACATTTGGGAGTCCTTGTTTTATGAACTAAGGTTGGTTTATGGTTTATTGAGATGATGGCGAAGCACACTATGGCTATCTGCCTAACGGCAGAGATGGATATTTAGGAAAACTTTTAAGGGAAACCGGCTGGAATACACATTATACATGGGGAAAACACCCAAGCAGACAGCCCGTTGCGAACCTTGGACCGAACTACATCTTGAAAGGAGCAGGAATAACGTGTACACCATTGAGTGAGTATGATCTATAATCATTGCTCATAATTTTCTCTCTGAAGGGAATGATGGTGGCCTATTGAAAACCATGATATACATTGCTGGGCATTAAAATTGCAATATCAGGAAGAAATTATGTAACAAACATCAAAATCGCATGAAAGGAAGAAGAGGTTAATATATGCAAATGATTAGTATTTCAGCGTATTTAGAGGACGCAGGAGCGAGAAACAACAGCTGAAGATCTGCATAAAAGAAATGTTGTGTAGTGGATTCTCATTTGGAAAGCGCATTGTAAGGTCAAAGTTTGCTCAGAATATCATGTTACATCTCAAATAATAATAACAAATGCTTACCAGCAAGTGTCAGAATGTAATAGAGGTAGGATCGTTGCCTATTGAGAGTGTGGATTATCGTTCCGTGATATCGCCCGTTGCACTAGTCAACATCCAACCACTGTCATGCGAATATGGAATCAATGGGTTGCTGAGGGTAATATTGAATGGCATGCAGGATCTTAAAGTCTTCCTATGATTAATGCCCGAGAGGACAGACATACTGTGAGGTCAGCCCTGCAAAACCGTACAAACACATTACGAACCATTAATCAGAAAATGGGTATGTTTGTACTAGGCAGCATGCCTAGTATCCACTCATACAGTGCATTGACATTTGCAGCCATATGGACTATCAACACAATGCCCATTACTTCAGCTTCCCTTGACAATGCAGCATAGAGAGAGACGGCGACTCTGGTGAGCCAAACGACAATGCTGGATACAGGAGTGGTACGTCATCTTTTCAGACGAGTCCCGGTTCTTAGTGCAGTATTCTGTCTGTAGGCTGCATACATGTCTCGAGGCTCCGAGGAGACTGCACATCACCTGCTTGCATTCAATATTGGCATAGGGTCCCTGCACCTGGTGTAATCATTTAGAGAGCCATTGGGTACACGGCATGCACATCTCTAGTTCGGATCGACAGTAATTTGAACAGTACATTTCTGACATCTTACGTCCAGTGGTTGTGCTCTATCTTTGAGGCCTGCAAATGCCATCTTCCAACATGATAATGCAAGACCACATGTTGCAGTATTTCAATTCCATTCACTAAGCATTATCGGAAGTATAAAATTACTTCATTTAGTTAGTGAGAGAGCATGCTGCTACTTCAGCAAATTGTGAATGTTATATTTTGCTTTAATTTTGGAAAATGTGCTACTGAGGCAATTGAATTTGAGACAAATATGTGAAGATAAATAATTACCTTATGCATACGCATTCAGGAGGTAAATATGATTGTAAAATGATGTAAAAACTAACAAAGATGAAATAGGTGAGATCTCCCAGTTCTGTTCATAATGAGAAATTTGTTGTAAAAGTGAATAATTACACGAAGATCATGTAACCATGTTGTTTAACTGTGAGGATAATGATAGACGAGTTCTGATGTTAGTTAGAAGATAAGTTATCAAATTTTAGAAGATTCTAATTGGGGGGAAAATACAGTTTGTTATCATTCTTTGTCTGGCAATCAAAAATACAACTCTGTTCAATATGCAAAAGATCCTCCAAACTTGAAAACTGACTATTGTGAAGAATGAAAAATGGAAGTCATTTTTCATTCTTCACAATGCTTAGTTAAGGGGGGGGGAGGGAATTCACCTTCAAAAGTCAGAAGCACTTGAACAAAAGCAACGGAATATCCATCATGATTTTGTTTCTGAGGGCAAACCATCAGTGCAATTTTTCAGAAACACCTCCTGCAGAAGAGGATTCTTCAGTATGAATTAAACATACAATAGTTCACAGAGTTTTCACTAGGGAAAAAAAAATATGCATTACCTTCCTCCGACAATTATTTTCTCTTTCGAAAACTGAAGTTACCACTGAAGAGTTTTTCCTCTCATGATTTTGAAGACATCCAAAAATGTTATCAAGTCTTTTAGGCAGTATCATAAGAACACCTGCATGTCACATTAGGCTTTATTAACTCATGCATGCCACCTTATGTTTTGAAACAACAGAAGATACTTGTCTTTATAAATTCGATCTTTATCACTTAATTGTTAGCCTGCGTTAATATTTTGTTTATGCAGTTTCCCTGACATATCACAAGTTGAACCGGAGTCCTGTAGATACAAATTACACTCAGCTGTTCCATTTATTGCTTTTTTTATCCTTGAAATGATTGCACTTCTTTTTCTGTCAGCATATTTTTTTCTTCCACAACTGTGTTTTACAAATCATACTTTATCACGAATATTGTATACTTGAATGATTCAGGACATAGCATCTCTTGATACATTTAATAGTTATCAATTTATGTCAGTGATGACTAATTAGATAGACACCTTCAAACTACTCTCTTTGGAACTTTATGAAATTGCTCATTGTATCTTAAATTTGAACTAATTTTTGCACATCTCAAGTTATAATGCCTTTACCCATAGCCTTGGAAATATAAGTAGATTTCTAAAAGTCTAATAATAAATCTTAATTTGCAATTTAAATTCTAAATCAATAAATATAGCCAAATGAATGCTTTAAGAGTAATTCATTAAGTATGCTCTTAAAAAAATTGTTTTTTAAACTGCATACAAATAATTCTAGTTTTTTAATAACTTTTAAGAACATTTTGTTCTGGATGTTTAATATACAGACATAATCATAAATACCTATGTATAGCAATTTACATTTCTTAAATGAAGTTTAATCTGATGAACTCAACATTTATTTTCAAAACACATCACTGTATGAAATATGTATACTATCAAAGAATAAAATATTCTAGGAGCGACATTTAAATGAGAGATTTCAGCTCAATGAATTAAAAATAACATTTATTTATATTGCATTTTCATTTCAAGGAAAAAAAAAAAAAACTGTCTCAATATATCAAACATATGTTTCAAATTCATATTTGAGATATGTAAAGATTTAGTACTGATAGCAGAACACATTAGATATATTCAAAAATCAAGCATTTGTCCCAAAAAAGATGTGGTTTATAATCTAAATGACATGCATTCACATAAATAGACAATACTATTTAGATTAAGGCCACAGTGCCTTTGAAAAATATAGAATCTTACAAGAAATATGTACAGTTATATTAATTTTTATATAATTTCTTAATGTGAAAGTATGAGACATTTAAACCTAAAGGAACTAGACTAAAAGCCTCCAGTCATTTTGTTCAATTTATTACAATTCACGAAATACTAATAAGTATTCAAATGCTTAGTTCAAAAAAGAAATACACCCTATTTTGAATTTGCCTTGTTATTTTGTGATATTTTATTACAATCTGTAAAATACTAATTAGAATTAAAATGCTTCGTTCAAAAAGGAATATTATTGCTTTAGCAAAAATCTATTTTGAATTTAAGAATTTGTACTCTGAAAGTGATTTTTGAAAAGGAACATGAACAACAGATATAAAAGAAAATTCTGAGTACAAGTAATTCATATTTTCGGTTCAATGGCTGGAACTAATACTTGCTAAAGGACCAAATTATCAGCCTAATATGTAAACAATATATATGTAGTAATTTAACTGTAAATTTTATTTTTTCTACTTGCAAAAGGCTCATAAATATGAAACTTTAATAAATTAGTTAATATACTTATTTTTAAATTATCATATGCATAAACTTACAGAATTATAAAATAAGCAATAACTGTTAAAATAATGACATTTATTTTAAATATAAAAAAGTAAATTATTTACATTCTAGTAAAAAGTGATTAAGTATGCTTTAAAAATATTTTTAAATCTGTCATACATTTCTGTATTTACAAAATTGTTTTGATTTCTAATGTTCATTTGCCATGATCTGTTGCTGCAAGTTTCTATATATCTCTAAATGAACAAATTCTAAATTTTGCAGATTGTAACAAAGGGAATATGAAAATTATCAACAATATAATAGTATTTAGAGTCTCAAAAATGTATAATTTTTATAATCATTTACTATATATTTTGCTATAACTACTCCTCCTTTTAATAATCAGAAAGTTATTATGGGATACAACAGACTTTTACAATTATAATCCACAAAGAGTAACTCAAAAGGTGTTTGAAAAAATTAACAACTAGCTCCTGAACAATGATTTGATATTCATGCATACCTGAACTGTATTCATTTTATCAATAAATTCACATGCAAAATAAATTTAACAGGAGTTTTATTTATTTATTAAACTTCATTAAATATATAAGAAATCTTATTGTAAATCTACAGAGCATATTAAAAAACCTCATCAGAGTACTGCAATTATTAAAGTTAAACAATATATATTGTACACACTAAGCTACGGAGCTAGATTCAGATACAAATACATCAGCAAGTTATAAATTTGTGATTTTTCACAAACAAATATCAGTTTATTTGAACAACTGATGAAATTTGTAATTTTTCACAAACAGATTTCAGTTTATTTTGAACAATGTACATAATCAGTTGTTATACACAAGGAAAACTCTTCAGAACCTAGCAGAAGGTAGAACAGTTTTTAAATGTATGTTTATTACACATTTATTAAACTAAGAGGGAAAGAAGCATGTACATTTTAAAAAGTTCACCCATTTGCATCAAAGAAAGAAATACTCTGAAATTTACTTGAGCTGATAGACAGACAGATAATTTGATTGCAAACCCAAAAATACTTAGAATGATTTCAATTCTAAATACTACAGCCATGAAAGTTTCAATAGATATATATTTTGTCTTTTTTCAAATCAGAATCAAATATGCCAGAATTATTAGCATTTCTATGATAATCTCTTCTTTTAAAGTGTTCAATTTTTCTTACATAATTTTCTAAATTTTTTACAATTATTCTTTCACACAGATTTTTTGCATATAAACTAAGTTTTTGAGTCATATTTTTTATAAGATATAAAGAGGTAGTCAGTGAATTAAATATATATATGTAGCCTTTGTATCACTTGCAATAACTTTTTTTCCTGTCTCAAGCAGTAAAAAAAAACAAAAAAACAAAAAACCAGAAGAAGATATTAAGTCAAGCACTGAGTTTAATGAAAATATTTTAAAAAGTAAATATGCAAACATTGAAAAGCACAGTATGATCAATTCAATTCAAATTAAGTTAGTTCAGAATAAAAACATATGAAAATTATTCCCTTGTTTGTGATTACAGAAAAATAATCTTCAAAGTTTTTGTGTAAAATTTCTATAGGAATAGCATACTGTACTTGATAAATGAATATATATGGTTCTGCTTGAATCACTGCTCTTATTTCTGTGATCACTTATGACAAATATTTTATGCTAACTAAATGATGCAAATGGGTTATTACTAATCCTACATCCATCTCTCATGTTTATTCTTCCTTTTAAACTATAATTTTGCTTTTGATTTAACACAGTATGCCTATAAAACATACAACATGTATGACTGTAAGAGTGTTTAACTACATTTTTAAATAACCTTTTGCAAAAATTCACTGCAAAACTTCTTCAAATGAAGATTCTATTATTAACAAAAATTGAAAAAAATCATTAATACACCTGACAAAGATGTGGTTACATGCTTTTACCAAGCCTGTTTTTTACTGAAATTTGTATCAAAAGGTTCAGTTCTACATAACTATAATTTATACTGTGATATGCATTTTAAAGAATTTTCATTTAAATTACTGAATATCTTAAAATTTGAAATATGTGATATATAATTAAAAAACAATACTTCTCAATTTATAATAAGTCTTGATAAAATATGCCAGTTACTTGTTAGAAATATTTCTGTTTTAAATATATATATATATATAAAAGAAACAAGGAAAAGCATTTCTATATCAGTCAAAAAATGAAACATTTGCTCAGAAATCAGAAATGCTAAATGCCCGTTTTCATAAAAATGCACTTTTTAAAAACGTTTTCAGATGTTTAAAAAACACAATCATGCATACAGTTTTTCAAATGTACATTCCATTAAGTTTATCAAATGTAAGCACATATCCATTCTTTATCAAAATTGCAGTGTTTATTTATATTTACATTACAGGAAATAACACAAAATAATACATGCAGCATATTTTTACATTTAAAAACAACAAAAAATAATATATGCAGCACTTTTTTTTAGCATTTTAAATAATATAAAAAATTGCTTAGCTTAAAACTAAAAACCGGGTAAATATTAAATATCATATTTTGCTATAAAAAGTCGCTTATTATTGAGGTACAAATTTCACCATTTTTTTTTTTTTTTTTTAAATACAAGAAATTGTGTGTCACCTGGAATATATTATGTGTTCTATAGTTCTAAAGAGAAAGAAGTGTGGAAATATGTCATAGATTTATTTTTCACTTCATTTTACTCATATTTATTTCTTAAAAAAAAATTAAAAACCATTTTTTTTTTCAGGTTGTATGCACATTCCTATATTACATTCCTGGAAACAATTAAAGATTATAATCAGCAAAGAAATTATGCATAATATAAATAATTAAAAATTAAGTATTTTAATAAGTACAGCCACATATCATACAGCCTGTTCTAAGTGAAAAACATTTTCATAATATACATATAAAAAGTGTAATCAAAATATATTTAATAGAAGCTAAGAATTAAACCATAGTTATAAGAACCAAAATAAAAAGTTCAGGTACCAAACATTGAGACACACTGCAACTCTTTCCCACTTTTCTAAAACATCCATCACCCTCTTATCCACCCTAAATAAACATTTATTTAACAAATTTATTCTTTGGTTTAAGTTAAATTGTACTTTAAAATGTTTCTTTTATAAATTCTCCTCACACCTTTCTACCCCCACCTCTTAAATATATTATTTTATCAAATTTAAATATGATTTGCACCACTCTTCATTAATTATTAAAAAGCTTACCTATTTAAAAGTTCCAATTAAAACCAATAACTTTCATGTCACAGTATAAATCTGAATCTTTACTATACTGTAATTCCATTTGCGAGGATGAAAATTAGCTTGTTATCATTCAGCTGTAATTTCATAAAACTCTATGAAGCAATTTCAAGTGATGCAATATTTTCTATATGGTGCAACCATTATATCATAATAGGTAATGTGTTAATGTGATATATTAATAAGACAATTATACACAAGATTCTCAAACACTGCTAAAATATTAAACAAAAGGGGTCATAAAAGACTACATAACATTAACTGCAAAAACATTTAAACATCATCAAAACTTCCAAATTTATTATACAGCAAAAATTTATTTTGCTACTAGTTACTCTAAAATGTTTCACATTAACAACTTAACTTACTATAGATGTCAAAAAATACTGGCTCATTATATATATATAATATAAAAATTAATTATTCTTCTGGACCAATTCTGAAGAATTAAAGCAAAACACTTACTATGAGCAAAGTAATCATTGCACAGCTTAATTTACATATTTCAAGTTTTTAAAATGCATAGAGATTCTTCATAAAATTCATTTTACATATTGTATTTCAAATGAAAATATAAGCGTGAGCTTATAGCCAATACTTTGCATAAAACACAATTATGCAAATACTTTATTATGATATAAGAAATTGATAATTGATATTTTTTACAAAACTTCCATCTCACTAGTAATATATACAATTTACTACTAGAAGATAATAAAAAAAAAAGTCTAGTTTGAATCAGAATACAGAGTTAAATAAAAAGAGTGCACTGAAAGTGATAGGAGAAAAGAGAACATATATAGTGAAAAATTATTCCCTCACAAGGGAGACACATTAAGAAGATGGGTTAATTTTACATTTTCTCTAAGTATTACAGCAGAAGTGGTCAAACTTTTACATAATGCATATAAACTTTTACATAATACAAACTTTACATTATTTACTAATTTTTGAAATGATGCATAAAAGGCTGCACATATCACAGAAAATATTCTGTCCTTTCTCTTACATGTTTGCAATTTATGGCAATGAATATGTATGCAAAAAGAAAAAACTGAAAATTTTAATTACAAACAATAAAATCTATATAAAGAAAGCATCTTTAATTGGAACTCTACTAGGTTAACAGAAGAACAATTATTCATGAATACTTACAGAACTTCTAAAAAAACAACAAATAATATAACTTTAAAATACTTTTGAGTTATTGAGAGGGTCATAGGAAAATACTTTTGATATTACAACTTAAAGGCTCCAAAATATGATTAAAAGTATTTGACTAAAATCAATATCACTAACGAATTGTAATAGGTACTTTTTTATAAACCAATTTTATCTAGAATTAATGTCAATTAAAAAAAGTTTGGCATAGTATCAGGAAGCTTAATGCATTTTAATGGACAGCAAGTCCTCTTTCACCAGGACTAAATATTTTCATAATAATCTCTGAATAAGAGAAAAGCTATAACCTTTTGGTCTTTAACATTTTTTATTGAATTTAATTTATTTGTGCTATTTACTGAACTTAACATTTGACATGTACTGTTCATTTTTATGTAAAGAGCATCTTATGTATTCAATATCTGCAATTGAATAATACAAATGAGGAAAAATGCTTATTTTTAGTAATTTTTTATTTCATTTATTGTCTCAACAATTTTTTTGAGGGGGAGGATATTGGAATTCTTGTATTTCACTCACTGTTTTACCTCCAGTTTTCTTAATCATATTTTAGCAAAGTTTTCATCCTTTGCTCACAGATCATAGCTGCCAACCTTGAAATATAAAACACCAGGATATTCTTGCATTAAAAGCCGAAAGTTACTGGGAGGGTTTTTTTACCCCATATTTCAAAAGAATTAAAAATTATTTTAATTTGCTTTATAATGCATAAATTAGGTTATTCAACTACTTATAATACAATCCTTATACAATATAAATATATATATAAAATATGAAACAAAATTATTAAACTTAACTGAAATCAACTGGCAATCGATCTTACAATTCATAAATTTGAATTAAATGCAGGCCTGCTTAGAGAGTGACGCTTCGCTGTGTCACTTTGCCACGCACTACATCGCATCTTTCTGTGCAATCTCTCTGCAATGCAACATTTGTAGCCCAGTTGCTGCTCAGGATTAACACAATGACTTTCCAGCTACAAATAAAATGAAGTGAGTATGCAGTGCTTTTTTACACTTGGTGTTGCTTGAGCACACTGTGTTTCTCACTTCGGTTTCTTTTTCAGTGCCTAAAATGTAAACTACATATATTGAAACTGTGGGGCATGCTTAACACTGCTTGTGTTGTCCCAGTTTTAATATTTCTGAATAACTGGTGCTGTAAAAAATGTCTTAACCATCAAGCCAGTTGTGATTTTTACCCCAGTTATGATCTACGCAAATCTCATCATCAAGCAGTCGTGGCATCTAAGCCATGACTCAAACATAATTCAGATTTCCTCTTTCCATAAAAAAAAAAAAAAAAAAAAAAAAAAAAAAACATCATATCATACACACATATATATAACAGGTGCCAACCAATCTTGAAATATAAAACACCACAATATTCTTACATTAAAAACCGTAAGTTACCAAGAGGTTCCCCCCCCCAAGCCGCATGGCAGCATTATTTCAAAAGAATTCCAGATTGTCTTAATTTGCTTTATAATGAAATGGGCAATTTGGCAATCTTGGAAATAGCAAGTTACATTAGGAATCAAAAAGCAGTAGTGGTGCCATATGGACAATAAACCTTAGCCATTGATACTGATATTGGTGTTCAGTCGAGATGGCATCAAGGACCAGCAAACAACGTGCTTTTTGCCATGAAGGCATTTACAAAAACAACAGCTATGTGGCCATGCAGCATAGAAAGAGGAGTGGAAGTGCAAAAAGGTTGTGCATACCAGAGAATGTGGCAAGAGTGGAAGAAGTTTTCAACCAAAGTGCCAGGCGTTCTGCACGCAAGCATGCACTGCAACTATATATATATCGGAGTATTGATATATCGGAATGCAATGTACGGCAAACACTGCACAAGGAACTGCAATACAACCCATAAAAAATGCAGACAGTGCAAAAACTGAATGTGGAGAACATCCAAAGAGACTAGGCTTTTGCCGGAATTACCGGAACGACAACTCAGGCCATTGCGAGAATGATGATGAGTAATGAGGTCAATTTTTATGTGTCAGGCTTTTTTAACAAGCAAAACTAGATGCTGATCCTGTGAAAATCCTGAAATGCTTCATAAAAAGCCACTTCAAAGTCAGAAAGTGTCAGTGTGGTGCAGCATATCATCATTTGGAATCATCGGACCTTATTATTATTATTTTTTTTTTTAAGATGATCACATTAATGTGAATAAATAATGTTATGCTCATACATTGAAATATTTACTAGTGCGGCAGCTTGTTGATCTTCCTGTAACTGCAAACACATTCTTACAACAACATGGTGCCACACACCATACTTTGCAGATTTCTATTAAATGGAGCCATTTCTTGGCATCCAAGATTCCCTGAACTTTCAGTGTGCGACTTCTTCCTTTGGGTTCATTTGAAATCTGAGACCTTCCGGTGTGACCCACCTCATACCATCCACAAACTGAAAGTTCAAATTCGGGATGAAGTTAATTAATTCCAATGCCAGTCCTGCAAGATATGATGGATAACTTCCATAAAAGTCTTAGAATGTGCATGAAGGAAAAAGGGCCACCTACGTGATGTCAAGTGATGGATTACGTGATTTTCAAGTGATGGACATTTTGTACCGTGACACATCTATGCAAGATATGGAAGTTGTTCAGAAACATTCCTCACAAATTGCAAGCATTGTAAATTTATATTGCTGCAAATAAATTTGTACCGCTAGTGGAGGTTTCAAAATCCTGTGTCATTGCCGCACCTTTATATATAATAAGTTTAAATTTTATGTTCTTTGGCTAAGTTTGCAATTTTCTTACACCTTTATGCTGGTAAAATCCTGAATAAGGAAAGAAAAATTTAATTTATCAAAGTATTTGAAAACAACATTAATAATTAATGAGCAAACTATTACAACATTAATAATTAATGTGCAGATAAATTTAGTAATGTATCATATATTGATTCAAAACAAATACAAATATTAACTGATTAAACTTTGGTTCAATCTTCGTATAAAATTTTACAAATGTCTAATACAGATCAAACACAATTTAGGAATAAAAATTTTACTGAAAATTGCTAATGCAGTTTGCACAATTCAAGTTTCATTAATTCACCTAATTTCATTTATTGCTGAAAAACACTTTCCTCATTTAAAGCTAAAAATTAAAAACCAGCAAATTTGGTATCTACTGGAAGACCAGGAGATGTGATGAAAAACTAGGACAGGTGGCAGCTATGACAAATAAAAAGGTTAAAAATGATTAGGATGTCTTTTAAAGAAATAAGAAACCAAAATTTTTATAATACCTTACCCAAAACTCACATTTTTACAAGCGTCCATTACAAATTTTACAATATAATACTATACTGGACTTTTTAGTTTACATAATCCTGAAATTCTTAATCACAATTTTACTTAATAAAATTAATGAGAAATCTTCAGAACTACATATTTTAACTGTAATTTATACAGCAGCGAGTTTTAAAAATGAATGCTTGTTATATTAAAAAAAAATTATTTTTACAAATGCTTTTATTATAGCAGCAAATAAATTCTGACTCAATGACATTTGAAAGGCTGGCCACTCCTATATTTGTTTCTTGCATAAATATGAAAGGGAAAGAAAAAACAGCAAAAATAAATAGAATGCAATATTTAATAGCACATATATCTTGATAAAAGTTTTTAAAAATATTTAAATATATAAATATAAATGTCGATTTTTATTGCTCCATTTATTTTTAAAACCAGCATTTACACAAAACATATATTTTCTGTCCTTAATATTTCATAAAACAGAAGTCTCACAACAAACACTACATAACGCATATATAGATATAAAAAGTATTCTAATATAAAAACTAAAAAAACTGATTTCTTACTTTAATAATAAAATGACAACCACAGTGAACTAAATCATAACTTAAAAGTGCTCTTAACACAAAAATCAGCAACTTAGAAGAAACCTAAATACAGATAAGTGATTACATGAAAGGATTTTGCGATACTGAGGTATTTTGACTAACATAGGAGGCATTTGTGTGCAGCACACTCTGCAAAGGCATGCTGGTAGATGTTGGAAGATTACTTTCTGCAGACATAGGAAATGCCTGAGGGGAATTCTGAGCTCTGATTTCATTAATAGTCATTGGTGATGGCTTTGCTGCTTGGAATGGATTGCCTAAAAGATGCAAGTAATAAGTTTAATAATATCTAATTAACTAGAAAAGGAATAATGTCAAGCTTCAATATTTTGCAACAAAATAAGAGTAAAATATTTCCATCTTCTGATACTGATTACGAAGGGTGATAAATTTTTAGTCAGTGTCAGATTGTAATGCAGATAGGCTATTATTATATCAAGGCAAAAAATTTAAACACTGTTTAAAAGTAAGACAAATTAAGAAAACATACCTAATAGTTACAAAAATTACAAATAAGACATTTCTAAATCTAACGCAGCCAGCTAGGTTTTATTCATGAAATACTGTTACCTATCTTTTCTCATTATTTGATTCTCCATTTGTCATTTTTTACATCAGCCTGTAACAGTTTTTTTGGAGTAAATTTAACATTGAGTACAAAGCTGAAAATTTGTTGCGAAACAATGTACTTACTAATGACCAGCATTAAAGACAAGTTCCTTATCTGTGATAATTTCCGAACATATACTACCGATATGTAGTAAGACCTAAAGCGCTATCCTTATGAATATTTTTCTTTGTTCAACTCCCTTTATGCTAATTTCTGAACTTTATCTACCTAGCCAAAGTATTAGCCATCCAGTGTTTATTGATATTGATTATGCACTTCATCTAGTCAATTGTTTCCTCTTAGATAATGTATAGCTCTTAGTAAACTGATCAAGGAAAAAGAATGGACGTTTATTGGCAGAGAATAGTGGGAAAAAAAAAAAAAAACTCTCCTTTGTTATTGCTTTATTAACATTCTTTTCTGCCCTTTGGGGTGCTTTGGCACTCAGTTTCTTATATTGGCCTGCATTCTTCAGGTTCTTTCCTCCCCAGAAGTGCAATTGAATTATTTTACAAATGACTGCATACTTCCTTGTTGGAAGGAACATTTGCTTGCTGCTGATTCTTACTACTAGCATCACCATTGCACTTTTTTTGATGCTCTTTATTCTGTGGGGTTCAACACAAACAGTTTTTTTTTTTTTTAACAGCTGGCACAATCTACAACAATAATTTTATTAATTTCTTATAATGTATTAAAACATCTTGGTTTACCATCTGTAGAAACAGATATAATAGCATTAACAGATACAGTCAAAAGTCTTTAATCTGGACTCGTCGGGACTTCGGTGATTCTAGATTATCAATTTTTCCAGATTATAGATCATCAGTTTAAATTTGGTAAGATGGCATGGCAGAAATATGAAATTAAAATATAAAAACCAAATTATGAAATAAAAACAATTAGGATCTAAAGGTATCAAAATTTCCAAAAAGGCTTAATATTTATTTGTTTACTTTATTAAACATTTCTTCAATGTAAGTGTTTAAGTTGTTTCGTATTAGTGATAATCTTTCTCTTTAATTTATAAACAGACATAATTTCTTGTTCATTACAAAGTACCGGTTCGTCCTATAATTTGCTGTGTCAAGAATACCGACTAATTTGTCAATCGAAATTTTTTCGTTTTCAATAATCTCTGTGCCACTTTCTTCACTTTCGAAAGTGAATTATAATGACGAGGAACTTGATTTAAATCATATCAAAGACGGAGTACATCGAGATGAAATACTACATTTAGTAAGGAATTATAAGCAAAATAAAAACATCTGCCCTGAAGATAAGGATAGTGCTGACAGATTTCGGAATGGTTACAGAAACAAAGGATATGCCTTTATCCATTTTTTGCAGCAATTCCACTTTGTGTTTGATGGACATCGAAACATACTTTCACTTTGTAGATCCTTTGGCAGCTCCAGCCTCATAAATTCTATTTGACCTAATCGAAAGTTAAGCTTACTTTTATAAAAATGCTCTAACAGTCTGCAAAAAATAATAAGCTATATCCAATTCGAAGATTAAGGAACAATGCAATCTGCAACATTAACCGAAATAGATAATTAGATAATTTTACCTTAGCTTACACCGTCCGTTATACATTAAACTTGCATGTGTAAACGTATTATGCGCAAGCGCAGAAAGTTTGTAGCTTTGAGATCCGGATTATAGACCATTCTGGATTATGGAAGTCCGGATTAATGACTTTTGACTGTATCAATAAATACTATTAAAACTTCTTTACTAATATAATATGAAACTATTTCTAAAGAGAAATGTGCACTAAAGAAACAATCATAAACTAGTGAGGATCAAACATAGACGTTTTACTTGGTTTATTATTTTTTATGTTAAATATTAATTTTAAGCACACATTTTTGTATGCAAAAGCACATAAACAAACAAAACACTTACTATTTCTCCATTATTAGAACTACATACTGATTAAAGTAAAAATTAAGTTATTATAATCATGTATGCAAATTTATATTTATTAATAAATTGGTAAATATTACCAATTAAGACAACATTATAAATATTTGAAGTTGTTGCCAGTTGCTTCTATTTTCTGCTGCATTTCCAACTGGTTTCTTTTACCAGTGGGGCAAAAGTTTTCTGCTAATGGACAGCAAGCCCTATCTGAAAATTATACATGAGGTATTCCGCACTTCTGCAATTTATCAAAAAGTTGTACTTGGTTCAATACACTAAAAACTAATTGGCTGATGTATGAGCTTCAAACTCCATAACTGGTTTCTCCACTATTGGAATTTCCTATTATTATTTTTTTTTCCCTTTGAATAAAATATATTTCGGTACTTGTATATTATCTTGCCAACTGAAACCACTGAACCATGAAAGACGTGGAGGTTGGTAGACGAAAAAGATCATGGAGATTGTAAAATTGTGGCAATTGTTCATGCAGAATTCTAAAGGAACTGAAGAATCTTTATTTAGAACTGAAGAATCTTTATTTAATAAACAATCTGCCATTCGCTTCACTTGGCACAAAGGCTTTTGTTGATTTCTAAATTTTGTTAGACCCTCTGATTGCACTGGAAGCTCTGTTTGGAATGGTATGACAATAAACATTCTGCAGGTAAATGCTGCAATATATTACTGTTTTGCCGCCACATTCAACTGTTTTTTTAACAGATGTTAATTCCCTTGAATAGCTGTAAATGAACCGGACTGTTGTACTGCCATTATTTATTTATTTTCAAATAAAGTACCATATCATGTCCATTAATACAAAGTTTTTTATGACAGGATTGACTACTTGAAATATCTATTATTGTTACTGCAGTAGTCAATGAAAAAAATATGATCATTTTAAAATTCAGGCATCATTCATTAGAAAATGGCTACATGTAGACTCCTACAAAGTGCTACACATGTCAGGAAATGCAACAACAAATATGAGCAACAGCAAGTAACGCTCACTGGCTTGAAACCATTATAAAACATATTATTTTTCGTGCCTGCAAAAGCTGAACAGTTGCTTTGTACTTCATTGTACGAAGTAAATGAAGTATTGTAATTGCAAATAATTTTGTGTATCCTATATTTCAAGGAAAATATCCGTTTTGACCATGCTCAAATCCATTTGAACGATGTTTTTGTGCGATATTTGTACTATGGACAGAATAAAACTCCTTTTTCCAAACCAGATTGTAAAATGGAACTTTTTCATGATGTCTGTATGTGTGTACGCATCTCGCATGACTATAAATCAACTAGCCGTAAAATATGGAAATTTTGTATATGGGACTGCTACAACATATAGTTGTGCACTTCCCTTTTTATTGCAATCAGCCCCCATCAAGCATACAACCACTCTATTATTTGGCTCAATCTCAGTTTTCTTTCTTACATGTTGGTAAACTGTGCATTTTTTGCTTTAAAAGTAATTGAATAATGTTACTGTTATGTTCCAGTTAAGGTTTTTATGCCTTTAGTTAAGTTGCATGCAACAGCTGCAGAATTATCAACAATTTAAAAGATATTCAAATGGTACTATGCCAAAAGTGGCTGCCATGTGTTTGCATTTCAAACTCTTAGCAGACTAGTGAATTAAGTCAGTTTGTGCACCAACTTCAGTGTATTTTTGCCGAGTAGAAGCAAAAGTAAACTTTCAATTTTGTGCAACAGAAAAATTTCTTCTCCCTCACTGCCCGAATTGCCTATTTTTGCATAGAAACTCTAATTTTAATTGTAATTTTTTCTTAACTGTATTTCATGTTTTATGGTTTTTTGTATTTTACAATTTTTGAATGAAGATTGAGATTTTATGTATTTTTGCCTTGCAGCAAGGTGAGAACTGAATTAATCAAATGACAAACATATGTCTAATGAAATTGTAGGAAATAAGTTTAAATGAAATGCAGCAAAACATATGTATAATTTAATAGGTCATACAAAGTAGTCATGTAGTGTTCATATCAGATTTCTTTACATATAATTACTGCAATATCAATACTACTATAACCATTATAAATTTACAAATGGAAAACTATTAAAACTTATATCTTATCAAATCACATCAAATTCACAGGATAATTCCATATATTTCAAATTATTTAACAGCTGACAAGCAAAATTTAAAAGCAATCACTTAACAAAATTTCTCTTTTTATGTATCCTATTGAAGGTATTGGAAATTTTCTTTCATTTTGATAAAAGTTACTTACCAAGAGTTCTGGACCGAACTGCTGAAGCATCGAATTGAATCAAGGTAGAGTCTGGACTTAGTAATATATCTAAAGAGTTTGCTTCATCTTGAGGTGCAGACTGAGAATAAACATCAGCTGATAAAGACTTCCGCATGGAGGTCATATCAAAGGAATTAGAATCTAAATTAATAAAAACAGCATCAGAATGCACTTAAATAATGTGTAATATTTACTTACTTTTACAGTTTAATCCTAAAAAAAGTTTCAAAAAATTCAAAATTTTTTTTGGTTACAAAATGTTGCTAAAATCATAAGATTTATAAAAATGCAGTCTGATCTTGACATGCAGATTTCAATTCAATATTTTTAATAATTTCATATAATTTAGGTACTGTTCTGGGTTTGAATAAGCATTTTTTTCTATCTCTGAATGGCAAAGCGAAAAGTAGTAGAAGTGCACTGATAAGAGTAAGTAGCAACAGTGTGAAACAGAACTTTCCTTTGACTTGTTTTGATGCAGCTAGAATGTTGTCAATGAGATTATGTTTTCTAGATTAGATCATTTGCTTGATATTCCAATAAATTCCCTTTAAAATAAACTGAGAAGTAATTTTAGATAGGAACACCAATAAAACACTAAATGTAGAAATTTTAGATGTGGCATTCAGATTTATCAAGGAATTCGTAGATACGATGCATCATTATTGTCTAGGTATCAATCTGCCAGAAATTAAAGATATAGAAAATAAAATTTTACACCTAAATTCTGCTGTTCAAAATGGCAAAGGTAAAATAAAATTTACTATGATATCATTTATTGCACATTAACATGTGGAGACTTGCACACTTATTTAATACAGAAAAGTTATTCAAAATGCAGCTGTGCATTTATTTCATTGGCTTGCAAGTTCCTTACAACAAAACTTTTCCTCTAGTGGAAATACATTTTATTTTGCTGGGACACAAATCCATTTGCTGTAAACAAGTAAGATGTTTAATACTTAGATAACAAAGATTATTCAAAATTATTAAGCTGTCATTTTCATGGAAGATTTTTTAATTTCATTAATTTCATTTTTCTCAAAGTGTTATCAATCTATTGATTTGCTTATACATGTCAAATTGGTTAAATATAATAACATTTAAGTTATGCCTATGAAGTAATTACATGTTTCAGATAGAAATAAATTATAAAAAGCCTATATAAAGTAAATCCAATAAATAAAAGAAAAATTAGGGAAGAAAGAAAGAAATAGCTTTATCAGATACTTTACTCACTTTAAAAACAGAAGACAGAACCTTCTAATTTGGCTTTATATATTTCTAGTCTCAAAAACCAACTAAATGGCTAAATGTTTTTCTCATAAGTCTATTTTCGTGAATATCAAATCTTTTTTCTCATTTCACACTTAAATGCTATAGAAGTTGCAGCAAATGAGCAGAGAAAAAATTATTTTCGACTATGTTTACACAATACCAGATTCTAGTATCAGAGCTTGCTATGGCTGATGCAGGAGTCAATGAATTAAATTTTCTTTACAGTGCAAATTTTAAAACATTCATTTTGAAGTTTTCCCTTCCATATACACTGCTCGACATTGAAAATGCAACACCAAGAAGGAGTGGTCAGATATTTATGCAAATTTTAGAGTAGACGCACGCCACTGAGTTATGCGAATGATGTGAAATGTGCAGCTCTCCGACGCATGTGAAGTAAGATATAAGGGAAGGAACATGCAGAATGGGCAATATTCGTGTCGTTATTTCTGCCAGACAAATTATTAAAGAAAGTTGGTTTTTATCCCGGAGGGTACGTGTAATAGGAGAAAATGCCAGGCCACCACCAACAAAGGCCCTTCCACCAGATAGACGATTTTACAAGGGGTATGGTAATCGGACTGAGAAGGTCCTTACATCAAATCGCAGCTGATACCTGCATGGATGCAAACACGGTGCACCGGCTATGGCGAACATGGTTGGAATAAGGAAATGTGGGAAGAAGGAGGGGTGCAGGTGCAGCCAGAGTGACGTCAGCACGCGTGGATCGACGCATCCGCTGAGAAGTTGTGGCGGTTCTGCAAGTCACTTGTACCGCGATTATTCCCGTGACGAACAGAACCATTTCCTGTCAATTGGTTGAACTTGGCCTGCACTCACAGCGTCCGTTAAAAAGACTGCCATTGACCCCACAGCATAGATGCCAACGTTTAGAATGGTGCCGGACTGGAGCGATGTGGATGACAGAATGGCGAAATGTCGTGTTCTCAGATGAGTCACGCTTCTGTTTATCCAGTGACAGTCGTTGCATACGTGTGTGGCATCTACGTGGAGATGGATCTAATTCGGCAGTAACTGTGGAACACCCCATCGCGCGACAACGTGGCATAATGGTTTAGGGCGCTATTGCCTATGATTCGTATTCAGGACACTATGACGGCCTAATGATACTTGGATAATGTATTGCGGCCGGTGGCAATCCTCTACCTTCAGGGGCTGCCTAATGCAATTTTTAAGCAGGATAACGCCCGATCACACAGTGCTTGCATCTGTCAACATGCTCTGCAAGGTATACAGATGCTTCCCTGGCCACCGTACTCTTCTGACCTGTCACCAATCGAACATGTGTGGGATGTTATTGGACGCCATTTGCAGACTCTGCCCCTGCCTCGTTCAGAAGACGAACTGTGGAAAATGGTTGAAAGGGAATAGAGAGCCATCCCTCAGGACACCATCTGCACTCTTTTTGACTCTATGCCTAGGCATGTTTCTTCGTGCATCGCTGTCCGAGGTGGTCCTACATCCTACTGAGCCGACGCCGTTCTCGCTCTTCATTCTGACTATCATTTTGAAATGAAGATCACTTATCGCTGCTTGATGTCTTTTTTTTTTTTTTTTTTTTTTTTTTTTTTTTTTTTTTTCAAATTTCATCTCTTTCCGACCACTCCTTCTTGCTGTTGCATTTTCAATGTCGAGCAGTGTGTATATTCTTGTGTGTTTGTAACAGATTGGAGTTGGTTTATTGCACAGATAAAACAATGACCTATATAAATGTAATATTTTAGGAATGCATGGGAGAGAAGACACAAATAATTTTAATCATGGCCAAAGATTCTAGATTGTGTTGGCATAAAGAATGCATATAGCATAGTAGAAGGATGACAGCTGCAGGCAAATGTATCCGTAGATACAATACAATTGTAGTTCTGAACACAATAATTCTTAAGATGTATATTCTGGTTCACTGGTTGGCTAAAATGAATCTGCACTGCAGTGTCATGTAAGATACAGTCAAAAGTCTTTAATCCGGACTTCAGCAATTCCGGATTATCGATTTTTCCGGATTATAGATCATCAGTTTAAATCTGGTAAGATGGCATGCAGAAATTATAAAATTAAAAATACGAAACCGTAATTTATAAAAAGGATATCAAAATTCACAAAAAAAAAAAGCTTAATATTTATTTGTTTACTTTATTAAACATTTCTTTCAACGCGTGCATGCGTAAAGCATACATTTCGCATAGCCGAAATTAGAAAATTGCAACCAGAAAACTATTTGATTTGCATTTGTCATATTTATAATGATGAGGAATTTGATTTAAATCATATCAAAGACGGAGTACATCGAGATGAAATACTACATTTAGTAAGGAATTATAAGCCGAATAAAATAAAAACATCTGCCCTGAAGATGAACGAATAGTGCTGAACAGATCAACTTCCGATTGAATTGCGCGCCGTGACGTCCCCCCCCCAAGCAGAGCAAGCGTGAAATTGATAAACAGATTTCGGAACGGTTAGATAAACAAAGGATATGCCTTATTATCCATTTTTTGCAGCAATTCCACTTTTTGTTTGATGTACATCGAAACATACTTTCGTTTTGTAGATCCTTTGCGAGCTCCAGCTTCGGAAATTCTATTTGACATAATCGAAAGTTCAAGCTTACTTTTATAAAATTGCTCTTACAGTCTGCAAAAAATAATAAGCCGGATCCAGTTCGAAGAATAAGGAACAACACAATCATTAACATTAACTGAAATAGATAATTAGATAATTTTAGCTTATACCGTCCGTTACACATTAAACGCACACGCGAAAACATATTCTGCGCTTGCGCACACCCATATGTGCAGTCGTAAATGTCTTACGCGCACGCGTAAATGCCTATGCGCATGCGATGCGTAAATGCCTATGCGCATGCGTCAACGCGGCGCATGCGCAGAAAGTTTTTAGCTTTGAGGTCCGGATTATAGATCATTCCGGATTACGGGTGTCCGAATTAACGACTTTTGACTGTACTATGAAAATCCCTATAATTAATTTTTCAGTACTCTCTTGGAATGGATTAATTTCGAAATAATGCAGTTTACACTAATCAATTAAAATAAATAAATAATCAAATAAGTCAATTCGTCTGTCCCTCCCTTTTTCCTATGTATCGCGATACATCACGATACATGTGATTAACTACTGAAAAACAAAAAGAATGGTATAAACAAGTAATATGTTCACTGCCTCGAGAAAGAGTAATTAACAAGCACTAAACTTATTTGCTTAATCCCTTTCACCCTAGCCTTGGCTACTATTGCTTCAAATTTTTATTAAAAATCACACCACCAATATGCATTAGCTTTTGATTGTTTCACTATCAAGTATTAGTCCTTTCAATTGGTTTTGTTTATTCCTGCCTTCTTCGTTACATGGAAGGGAAGATGATATTGTGGAAGATAAGATCACCAATTTCAAGAAAACTGAAAAAAAAAAAAAAAAAAAAAAAAAAAAAAAAAAAAATTATCAGCTATTTTATACAAGTTTGAACTCAATGATATTGCTTAAGTTCTCTAGCAAACATTATTCTTGAATGGTATTTATAACTTGGTTTCATTTCTAATAATGGTTGTGTGTAAATATGTTTCTTCTGCTTTGAGTATTCATTTAAGTAAATAAATGAATTTATTCTTTAGATTAAATTACTTATATATATGTAAACTCGGCGTCTATGGGATTTCTATGCTGACAACACACATTTAGGTAAGTATTTATTTAGTTATTGATGGAGATACAGTGATGAGTATTTACAAATGAAAAAAGAGTTATAAAATTGAGAAGTTAACAGCTTCACCATCTATTAATACGTCTTAGTCGAAAACATGTGTTCTCTTTCGCTTCCCTCGTCCATCCTTTGTCTCACTGCAATGCCGTTAGTTGTGTTGAGTTGTCACTCTCCTGCTACTCACATATATATAAATTTTTATTTTTATTTTTCTATTAATTATAATGTAGGTTACTAATGATAATGCTTTTTAAACTACCTTCAGATTAACCATGATTTTTTATTAACTGTACATGCCATCCCCAGTATTACCCCAGTTGAATTAGGAGTCTACTGTATCTTCTTTAAAATATGCTTAAGAAGTTTTCTGAATCTCTAGACTATTTAAAAAGTTTAGAATTAAATAGATCTAGGAATACCTTCTGTGGAAATTATTTTGATTAATTGATAGATGGCGCTAACGTTGCATGTTAACGCGACGCGACGTGCCTTCTGAATTTCCATAGACTCTCCACCGGCAGCTCGATAGATGGATGTCTGATGGTTTGCACACTATTTGATTAGGAACACTTCGGTTCCTATTTGATTTCGATTTTCGATTATGAAAGCATATAGATTTATTTGTCAACTGAACCACCATGTTTGATCTATGAACTGTATATATTGTACATATTAAAAGTTACATTTTTAAAACTGATTGATGTCAATTTATAGATCTTAGAATATTTTGAAACAGCTGGTGCATTAGGCCGTCAAGAATTGGATTTAGCACGTTGCAAGTGTGCGAAGTCGGCAAAAAAGGTAGGGCTAAACTTTCTAATTTGTAGAGTAACTATGGCGGAAGAATCTGTTGTTAAATTAAAATCGAAACGCAAAGTTATCAGGACCACCGTGTCCAAGATTCTAAAAAAAATCGAATCGGAGTTGAATAAAGAAGAAATTGATACAAGTACATTAGAAGAAAATTTAGATCAATTAATCACAAAATCAAAAGCTCTGAGTGAGTTAGATGCTCAGATAGAGCGTGACTTGAAATCAGAGGCAGAAGAGTTTGAACAGAAATTCTATCTTGTATCGAATACGAAGAGAAAATTCAGTTATGGCAATTCAGAGCAAATAAAAAATTGAAAGAATTGAATAAAGTAACAAATTCGGATAATGAAAACTCTCTTAACAAAACTAATTCTAAAATCGAAAGCAATAAATGTATGCGTCTGCCAAAATTAACCATCGCTAAATTCTATGGAGATTACACACAGTGGACAAGTTTTTGGAACTCTTTTAAGGTAGCAATCCATGATAATGAATCTTTAACAAAGATCGAAAAATTTAATTATTTAAAATCGTACTTATGCGGCAACGCCGCAAACGCAATAGAAGGTTTTTGCATTTCGGAACAAAATTACGATGAAGTTGTCGAAATACTTAAAAACAGGTTTGGCAGGAAAGATATAATTATAAACTCACACATGCAAAAACTCCTGAATCTTACCCCAGTAACCAAA